ATCCTGGCTTGAAAGCTACATTTATCACAGAAATTAAAACACAGGCATGTTAGTGCAATTTGAATTTCAAAACAATCAAGGCCAATAAAGAAAAAAATTATTTCCACGTTGGATTTTATGTGGTCTGCAAAAAAATGCCAAAATACAGGCATTGCAGATATGGAAAATTATAATGATAATAATAAAGTATTGAAAATCTGTGCATGCCCTTGAAAAAGTTTACCAACTACCCCTCTATAAAAGCACAAAAGCCATATATAAGAAATAACGAGAGTTGACAAATTAAAAACCTACATTTTTTTTATTATTAAAATAAAATTATAATCCACACTGGAAATTTGGGTGCCTGTGGGTTTTGAGGGAGCCTAATAAATAATGAACATAAAAACTGCCTGCTGACGCACACAGTTAATGTTAATTAATAAAATAAAGATAAATTCTAAAAGCAATGTGTCAGAGACCCTTAAAAACATGTTTAACTCAACAATGAAACATCAAATTTGAGTTATTCATTCATCACATTATGAGTTTCATTGATGTAGTGCTGCTAAATCATCTGGAATCAGGTACATCATGTTCTTTATAGGCCTACAAATTATATTAATATATATGACAATCTATGACAATCAAGACTTATATTAATTAAATGACAATCCTACCTGCACATTCTTAACATTGATTCTGGAACATTAATGTGATTCTTTCATCATTCATCATTGATTCTTGTCACCCCCTTTACAAAAAAATGTAGTCCATACCTAATTTCTACTCTAAACACAACCAAAACTGTAAATCATTTCCCAAATCAGAGGGTAATAATAGGTAAACATCAATCATGTAGGGCCTGCCTCTTCGCTGTTAGCTGCAAATTGGACTAAGGGCTGCTGAACAGAGCTTTGCCAGCACCAACAACAATTTACATTTTTTAAGGTGCCATTGTCGGCATGTTCTTAATATTCTTCAATGTTTCATACATCAAACTTTTGTCATATACATTATGATAATATATGCCAAATTTTGTAAATTATACAAATCATACAACACTACAAAAATGCTTTTATCACTAAGAGTTATTATCTTGTTTCTGGTCCAATTCTGTGTTGCCAAACTATGTAAAAAATCCTTAAGACACACTTTTAAAAAAAACTTATTTTAAGAATAAACTCTAAATTTTGACTTATTATTTCTGAAAACAAGACTGTATTTGTGCTTGATTAAAAATGCTTCTTGGTTTAAGAATTTTTCGATATTTGCACAAGAAACAAGATGGACTCTAGGTAAGAAAAGCATTTTGAGCAGTGCAAAGCTCACAAGAGAAACATTTTATTTCACAGAACCCCCATAATGCATCACAAATCTGTATGCTATACCTTCTAGGTCTGATTAGCACTTTTAATTAATGTATGAATATTTAAAACAGCTAAATAAATGAATAAAATATTAATTAGTATTAAAGCAATTTTAATGCAACACATTAAGAACACATAATCTGAATTACCAGTATTAACACCATTAGAATATATAACATGTTATTAAACTCATTTGAATTTGTAACTAGGCTAATTATAATTCAGAATTAGATTTTATGAAGCCTACATATTATCATTTAATGTTATTGCAGCATACTTGATATTAATAAAATGTTTTACAATAATCATGTTATATTGCTGTTTAAGTAGTTCAAGTAGTTGTGATGGAATGAAAACAAACTTGTGACTTTTTAATCAAAACAAGTCTATGACATGTAATGTGCATCTTGTTTATGAGCAGTCTTGTATATTATTAATTTTACAGTAGATTTTCTGTATTTTCCTGAGGTTGTAATTTTCAATATGGAACTGTACATATATTGAGGAAAGTTACATCAAATCCATAAAAGGTTTCATTTTGAACAGTGCTAAAATTCAAATGATCAGTCATAAAAACAAAACAGTGTTTTAATAATTTATTCAACAAAAATGAGCATGATTGCAACAAAATTCAAACAGAAATTTGTCCAAAAGATAAAATTAGACCACTAAAACAACATAAAATTCAGTTTGTTTATAACTGCAACAATATAAAAAAAAAACATATATCAGAGCTATTATTATTTTTTGGATGCATTGATATCATCATGCACATGAACTAATTAAGTAGCCTTTTTGTAAAGCTATTCAGTTCTTTATCAACTTTAAAAAAGAAATGCATGCATCTTTGCGCAAAATTATTATTTTTTTTAAATCATCAGATAAATTGAAGTTTGACAAGGAGTCTTACCATTTAGGCTGATGTCAACATTGATGATATTCATGATATTAATTGTCACACAGGAAGCTTGTTAAACTAAATGCACCAAGACATTTTTTCTATTAAAGCAATATTTTTTTCTTAATCCTTAAATAGTGCCCTAGTAAAAGCAAACACACAATGTAATTATAAGTAAAATATCAACAAATAAATCTGAAGAGAAAGTTTGGCAACAAGTATGAAAGCATTTTATAAAATTTCTTTAGAAGTAACTTTCTTTTCCTCTTAAAAACTAATGTAAAACTTCAATTTGCCTTAAGAGGGATACCTAGGATGAAAATCAACTTTTGTGAGCTGTTTGGACAGAACTGTGTCTAGGTATAGTGTGTCCACTGTCATATTTTAGTGATAGAAACACAACAAGTCCCTTTTTAAATTTACTGACGTAAAAACAGGCCCCAAATCCCAGTGATTTTGAAGCTCACTGCAACTTAACATAGAAGTGTGGTTTCCCCGCCCTCCAAATTGATTGAAAGGTGCTATTTCTCCATAATAACATGTCTATAGAACAGTGCATGTTTGTAATAGGGAGTAAAATCACTATCTAATTCTTAATCGCTATAATCACCACGGCCCCGGCAGTAAATGCTAATGTGTTTGTCTGTGACTCATAATTTTAGGGTGCTTTTACATCTGTGGTTCGGTTCATTTGATCCCGACCAACAGCAACAAATGATACAATGTAGCATTTTCTGCTGTCTTTCGGTCCTTTTCACAGCACACTGATTGCTTTGGTCTAAACAAGTTGAAAAGAACCAAATTGCAGTCATCTGACAAAATCCACATCACTTATTGGCCAGATGTTATTGAATGTATTTCCTAAACTGCTTATCTTTTGGTCAGAATTCACGTGGGGGAAAAATGTTAATGGAACTCCCGCAACTACTATAGAGGGACAACTGTGCTGGCTTATTTTATCCCTGCTTATAGTATACTAAATAGTTTGTGTACATCACTTTCGACAAAATATACATTGAAATTTAAACTACAACTTTCATCATGCACCTCACACACACCAGTTCCTGAATCCCCCTGATTACACACATACAGCTGGAAGTTCATGATGGACTGATTACCGGGACTATACACGGCACACACACACACACATCTTTGCTGAGTCTTGTGATCTGAGTGAGCACTACTGAAGCGTTTTCCTTGTCTTGACGTGTTTTTGACATTTGCTTTGTTTTACTGTATACGTTGTTTTGCTGCCTGTCCCAAACATTCACCTGTATTTTGATCACACTTTTAGATTGTCTGTACGCTCCTGTCTGTCCCTGTTTTGACCTTTGCCTGCTTGACAGTTTTCTTAATAAACTGCACATGAATCCTACCCCGACTCTTTACAAAAGTTATATAGATAATGTAAAAACATTTTTAGATAAAGCTTATTTCTGAAGACCTTTAAGTCACAGTTTTCTGTACAGCAATATGAAGATCAAAACAGCCTGTCTTTGTCCTCATTTTATTTTACTGGGAATCCCCCCCCCCCCTCCCTCTGTTTAAAAATGTTCCCTTCTGAAAAAAAAACAGCTTAAACCAGCCTAAGCTGATTGGCTGGTTTTAGCTGGTCAACCAGCCTGGTTTTAGAGGGATTTTTGTCATTTCCAGGCTGGTTTCCTGCCATTTTAAGCCTAGTCTTAGTTGGTTCGGCTGAAAAATGACCAGCTAAAACCAGTTGAAACCAGCTTGACCAATCTGGTTTAAGCTGGACATAGCTGGTTTTAGTTGGTCATTTCCCAGCCTGACCAGCTAAGACCAGGCTGGAAAGGGCCAAAACCCCTCTAAAACCAGGCTGGTCAACCAGCTAAAACCAGCCAACCAGCTTAGGCTGGTTTAAGCTATTTTTTCCAGCAGGGTTGGCAAAGCGCTGTTAACAAATATTTTTCCTCCACATCCCATAATGCACAGCACATCGTTCTACGGCAGCTGGATTAGTCTTAAAGGCACAGTACTTTTTGCGGTTGGGTCTGTTCCAGGGTTCGTTTGAAAGCGCACAGAGACTACCTCTTCAAGGAGGTCTTGGTATGCTTTTTTGGTCCGCTTTCGATGCGCACTTGGTACATTCACACCTGCCCAAATAAACCACACCGAGACGGAAAAGGAACCAAACTAAATAAGGCAGGTGTGAAAGCACCCTCAAAAAGGCTTGAATAGACTCCACTGCAAATACATCAAATAAACTTACTTGGTATTTTTGACTCGTGAGCTTATTTCACCTTCATCCATGCCAGATTCTATCACTGACGGCTGTTTATCTGATGTAACGCAAGAGAAGAACACACGCACGTCAGAGCAGTGGGCGGGGTGAAACCACTCATTTGCATTTAAAGCCTATATTAACAGCTACATTGTGATCAGACACCGAAATGTGCAGATTCTACATTATATAATAAATTCTGACAGGTATTTTGAGCTGAAACTTTACAGACACATTCTGGAGACACTGAAGTCTTATTTTACATCTTGTGAAATGGGTAAAATTGGCGCCCTTTAACATAAATCTATTTAAAACAAACAACATTTTAATGCACAATGAAACCTAGACACTTTTTTAAAGGTAACATGACAGTGAAGAATCTAACTTAATGACATTATTAAGCTTACTCCCAGACTGAGTGTTCACAACATTGTTTCTAAATCCAAACACAACCTCTAGGTATAGCAAACACATGTATAATTTGGACAGGAAATAAACGCTGTTTTGTGGTTTAAGTTCTACTAATGGTTTGGGTGTAACTCTGAATAGATGTCTGAAAGTATGCCGGAGTGTTCTTATGTGGTTGGAATATTATTATGTAAGACTTTGGTATGAAGTAGCTGAAGAGAATTCCATAAATGCTGGATAACTCTGTCATCGCATTAACAAGCTGAATGTATTTGCTTTTAAGCATGAGGTATGTTGTGAAGTACACAATCCAGCTCAGGTAGTACAGGATGAGACTGAAGGTTATCGATTTTGCCTCATTGTAATTCTTAGGCAGATCTCTTCCCATGTACGAAAATACGAGACAAAGGAAACCGAGAAACCATGCTATAAACATAACCATGCTAATAGTTACAGTGTTCCCAATCTCACAGCTGAGAATGAGCTGATCTTTAAAGGTTACCGAGTCTCTGAAGGGCTTGGGAGGTGAGACAGTCATATACAGCATGCAAGAAACTATATTAATGATTGAAAAAAACCCGACAAAGAGCCACTGCCCATTGTGCTTGACCCAAAGGCTGTGCATGCTAGGAAACTTGGCAGCCATTTTGAAAATGCAAACAATTTGAAAGGAGCGCACAGCCATGCAGGAAAGAAAAACAGAGAAGAAATATGCAAATATGACATTTCTAAGGATGCAATGTTCAAATGTTGGTTCTCCGAAGAAGAAGAACACGCTTAAGGTAGACATGATCAAACATGCTAACATCAAGAAACACATGCTACCGCCAGCAGACCTGACCACAGGTGTGTTGTAATTGCAGGCGAAAAGGACAAATATGGCAATGAGGACCGTCATTAGGCATGTGGCGGAAAACAGAACAGTGATGGAGGAGGCTTCTGTGAGCTGGAGGTAGGCAACAGAACGATTCTTACAGGCTATGCTGCCCTCATCAGACCATTCACTCTCAGCACATGGAAAACATGTATAGGGGTCCCCTGAAAAACAGCAAAGCAGAGGTGGGTAGAGAGGCCAACAAGTTCATACATTAATAAAATACACACATTTATAATTATTTTTATTTATTTAAATTTTAATTAATATTATTTATTATTTTATATATTAAATTATATTATATAAAACAATATTAATATTATTTTAATTAATTTAAATTTAATTTTAATTTTTTATAAGGGAAATCCTGAATTTTAGACTACATCAAGAGCTGTACGTGAGTCTGTATGCTCAGCTTATATGACAAAGCCTAAACTTAAGACAAAACTGAGCAGAGCTGGGCAGTGGTAAAATAATAATTAAAAATAGCGGATCTGTGTGGTGGTGGTAAAATTAGGAGAGATTATAGAATTTTTATTTTAAGTCATGCAAGTCAGTCACATGCAGAGGTGAGTAGAGGTAAGTATCCAAAATCTATACTCAAGTAAAAGTAGAAGTACTTGCGGAAATTTTTACTTGAAGGTGCAATAGCTGATCTTCCACAATGCTAACAGCTTAGCATAAATCTCTGAATCACAGTCCCACCCCTGCCGTCTAGAGCCACGCCTCCGTAAACACGAGCACAGCAAAAGAACCCTCTCTCATGTGTTAAAAGTTACTAGTGCTTGTCTGGCGGAGTGCAAGCCAAACTGACATGCTATTTCAGAGCAAATATTTAGAGTTGCATGGTAAACGATATAGGGAGAGACTAGGCGGAATAGCGGTATTGTGTTTTGTTGTTAAACTAATTAAAATCTACATTATCGATGCTGTAAAAGGTCCCTTACGAAACTGAAATAGTATTATCAATCTTTCATCAGAAGATTTTAGTGGCTGAACAACACTTCTGTGAAGATATAACCCATTTGTAACAACATTTCTAACGTTACATCAGCTTTGCGTGAAGCTAAAACAGTTTTAAAACAGAACATTACCGGTCTAAGAGAAATCCTTCATACATTGTGGCATCCTTTCTCCAGCGTGCAAAGATAACTCCAATATTGATTAAGGTTTTTAAAAAGTTTTGAACAGGTTTTTACCGATCGCGCGCACATGCTTTCTATCTCGTGAACACACGGTGGTCGGCGGAGCTGCGTACAAACGGCTGCGCAGTTGTTCAAATGCATTTGCTGACAGACAGATTGGGCTACTTATCAGAATTATGGGAGATGTCGCCCGACTCTATTTAATTGGATGAACATTTTTTTGTTCTATGCCTTACCCAAAATATAAAAATACATATAAATACATTTAGATTATTTACTGTAATCATTACTATTAGACTGTGAAGAGACTTTCAACCAGCACAACAAAAATGCTTCTGAAGACAATCACCTACTGCACCTTTAAGTAAAAGTAATAATCGTAATAAAGCTACTTGAGTAAGAGTAAAAAAGTATCTGATGAAAAAATTGCTCAAGTAAATAGTTACTAGTTACTTTTCATTATATATACAGTTGAAGATTCAAAATTATTCGCCCTCCTGTGAATTTTTTTTCTTTTTCAAATATTTCCCAAATTATGTTTAACAGATCAAGGAATTTTTCACAGTATTGCCTATATTATTTTTTTCTTCTGAAGAAAGTTATATATATATATATATATATATATATATATATATATATATATATATATATATATATATATATATATATATGTTCAATGGACTATAAAAGTATTAAAGCACATCTCTAATGTACACTATGCATTTTTCTGGTATAAACCCGATATATATATATATATATATATATATGGTGTACATTAGAGTTGTGCTTAATACTTTTATAGTCTACTGTATTTTTGGGAGATGAGGTAAAATTACTTCATAATACATCTCAACAAACGTAGAATTTGACAAAAATCTTGACTTGCAATTTGCACTTTAAAAATGCTGGGTTGCACACACTTCCTCCATGTTGTCCCAACACAAATCAATTAAATTAACATTTTTACAAATTTAAGTGGAATGAAAATAAAAAAAAATAGTTTGTCCCAAAAACAACTTAAGAACTGTGTTGTTTCAGCTCATTTTAAACAAGTAGCAAAAGTATTTTTTGAGTGTGAACATCTGATTTATTCCATCTCTAATCAGATCATTTTTAGGTTTGTGTGGTAAAAAAAATTAGAACATTTTAACTGTTAATTTTTGATGTTGAGATTTAAGCAACTAATTTAAGCAGAACCACTCAATGTGATTTGTTTTACCAATGGTTTCTGTCAACGCACATATACTTGACAACCTTTAAAAATGTTCCAAAAACACCTATAATATCAATTCAGTCATGTTATTTGAGTACAATTTACACAACTTCTTTTTTCTTTTTACTTTAGATTATTGTGTTTTGCTCAAAATGGGCTAAATTAGTTAACCTTTTATTTCTTTAAATACACTCACCGGTCACTTTATTAGGTACACCTTACTGGTAACTACAGAGCCAGTAACTGGTATGTTGGACCCGCTTTTGCCTTCAGAACTGCCTTAATCCTTCATGGCATAGATTTACAAGGTACTGGAAATATTCCTCTGAGATTTTGGTCTATATTGACATGATAGCATCAAGCAGTTGATGCAGATTTGTCATTTGCACATCCATGATGCTGATTTCCCTTTGGGAGCTGCTGGAAGTAGCTATCAGAAGATGGTTACACGGTGGTCATAAAAGGATGGACATGGTCAGCAACAATACACAGGTAGGCTGTGGCATTGACACGATGCTTAATTGGTACTAATGGGCCCAAAGTGTGCCAGAAAATATCCCCCACACCCAGGGCCAGAGCAAGCTGAACTGCTGCTCTAGGCAGAAGACGATCACGCCGCCCTCAACCTCAATGTGAAAACGAAAGTCGCCGGTTATGAAAATGAAGTGAGGTGTCGCTGACCTCTATTCTGCCGCCCGATGCGTGGATATAACTGAGGACACGCGGGTGCTGAGGGAGGTGTCGTGGACATAGCTGAGGATGCGGGTGTTAGGGGAGGTGTCGCGGATGCTGCCCTCTCTATACTGCGGCCGCCTAGGGCGCCTTCTATGGACGCACCGGCCCTGCCCTCAACATTACACCACCAGCCTGAACCGTTGATACAAGGCAGGATGGATCTATGCTGTCATGTTGTTGACGCCAAATTCTTACCCTACTATTCGAATGTCACAGCAAAAGTCGAGACTCATCAGACCAGGCAACGCTTTTCCAATCTTCTATTGTTTATTTTTGGTGAGCCTGTGCAAATTGTAGCATCAGTTTCCTGTTCTTAGCTGACAGGAGTGACACCTAATGTGGTCTTTTGCTGCTGTAGCCCCTCAAGGCTGGACATGTGTTTAGAGATGCTCCTCTGCAGACCTTGGTTGTAACGAGTGGTCATTTGAGCTACTGTTGCCTTTCTATCAGCTCGAACCAGTCTGGCCATTCTCCTCTGACAAGGCATTTGTGCCCACAGAACTGTCGCTCACTAGATATTTTCTCTTTTTTGGACCATTCTCTGTGAACCCTGTAGATGGTTGTGCGTGAAAATTCCAATAGATCAACAGTTTCTGAAATAATCAGAGCAGTTTGTCTGGCACTAACAACCATGCCACATTTAAAGTCACTTAAATTATCTTTCTTCCTCATTCTGATGCTCAGTTTGAACTGCAGCAGATCGTCTTGACCATGTCTACATGCTTAAATGCATTGAGTTGCTGCCATGTGATTGGCTGAATAAAAATTTGCGCTAACAAGCAGTTGGACAGGTGTATCTAATAAAGTGGCTTGTGAGTGTGTGTGTGTGTGTATATATATAGATAGATAGATAGATAGATAGATAGATAGATAGATAGATAGATAGATAGATAGATAGATAGATAGATAGATAGATAGATAGATAGATAGATAGATAGATAGATAGATAGATAGATAGATAGACAGAAGCTAACATGTTACACAATTTTATCGCTTGAAGTACTCACGAGTATAATCCACATAGCTGTTCCGTGGACATTTTTTGCACAGAAAACAGCAAGTATGAAATCTATCGTGTTCCCTTGCAAATCCTTCCTTGCACTCAGCAGAACAGTTTGAGAAAGGAACCTTTGTGGAATGAAAAAATATGAGGTTAACATCAAAACAAGTCGGATAACTGTTTTTCCCAAAAGAAAACTTACATTGTTATGCCAGGGCAAGAGAGTGTTGTTGATGGTAAAAGTTACTTCAGGATATGTATCAAACATGCCCACTTTATCAAAATGTGGAGGATCTGTTTCAGTATGCCAGAGTATGATCGCAAAGCTGATAGTTGGATCACCGTTTGCGTCATATTTCACCTGACGGCCATTGAGTGGGAAATCCAGCTTCTTTATTTGTTCAAGAAGCTAAAATGGCCAAAAAAAAATACAAATTAGAGCAACATAGGCTCAAATCTGAAAGCATATACATTTCTGGAGATCATGAATATGTAGCCTGAAGTACATATGGCTGCATTTCGTCTTTAAAATGAACACAACAGGCGGTATGATGCTGTTCCTATTCGTGCTATCAGCTGACCGCTAACCTCCGTATGGACAGCTTTCCCGCTGCTACCAGTTTGTCCAGTTAGCTCGCCATTTACCTTGGTGGACTTGAGACGCACAGAAGAGTTTACCACGATGATGGGGTTCGAGTCCGAGTTTTGTCAAGTAAGACAAAAACAGAAGCCAAAAATTAAAATAAACAAGTAAATAACAGGGTGAGCATGTGGTGAAAATGTGGTAAAAATTAGAGGGCTTTTTTCTTTTCTTTTTCTGGATTGCCTTTGAAAACTGTAGTTGGGTTTGGGGAAGTGGGGAGCGGTTCTATCGGTGCTTTTGACAACACTATTGTGGGGTTTAGGGAAAGAAGAGAGTGGGTGAGTCGATCGGTCAGTCATTACGACAGTGGCCTCTGGTGGACTTACACAGCATGTGCGACTGGCACTAGCGAGAGAAATTTGAAATCGTATCCACCAGCCTCTTGTAAATTCGCGAAAAACTAAAACTGCAAAAAAAAACAAAAAAAAACGTAGCTTCTGGGACATATTTGGCGCTCTCCAGAAATGTATATAGTGGTACGTTTTCAAAATGAGCCCAGGTTGAAGTAACATTATGATGATAATGAAATCTTATGATTAATTCACTCACCATGTAAGGCTTAGCTGTTGTGTTTTTGTCACAAACATTCACGTCACACTGCAGGACTTTATGCAGTGCGTGAGCTATGGTATATATGGCCGAATAGATACCGAAAGTGAATGTTGGATTTTCAGTTATAATCTCCTCTGCAGTCAACAATGTGCAGCAATCGCAGTCTTGATTACATGTCTGGCTTTTGACTTCACCCATACCATGATTATGACCAGCATCATCAACTGATCGCCTTTCTTTATAGATGAATTCATTGAATCCAGGTAACGACAAGAATCGCTCTGTAATGCCAATGACTGTACCGATTTTCTCAATCCCTGGCTCCCTTGGTAGCTGCTGATTCATTGACCATGTTTCACTCGCAATCCATACTTTGTCACGAACGTCGTTTGCTATCGCTGCTTTGATAATGTTGCTGGCATACTGCTGTTCAGCAAAAACAACGATGACATTGACGTTAAGCATATCAATCATTTCAAACGTTAGACTGTAGTTTGTCTTTTGGCTCAAAGCCTCTTGATAGGCCAGACAAATGCCAGAGTTGCTTATAAACGTGTTAAACAGCCTTAAGCCATCTTCACTATAATCATCTTGGTCACCAAGAAAGGCGACCCAGTTCCATCCAAACCACTGTATGATCTGAATAATCATATGTATCAGGTCTTTGTTGCTGGGCACCGTTCTTACAAAAGACGGGTACATGAGTTTATTACTCAACGAATAGCTGGAAGCTCCATAATTCACCTTTGGAGAAGAAGAAAATGATGCTATTTATTGCAGTATTTCTTAAAATAAAGACAAAAAGGTAACACTTAAGATTAGCAAACAGATATTCTTCAATAACTGACAGTTTCCTTCAGAAATATCACAATTAGCAAGGTAGTTGTCAGTACACATTGTTAAAAATATCTGTAAATTAACAGTTTTCTGTATTTTTAATTGTATTATGGATCTTTTCTAAGTTTGACCTGTGTGACCTAAGTGATTGTAATATATATATACATAATTATATATACAAAATTCCGCTGCACAGATTCTGACACACACATCATCACATCACCAAATTACTCCTGTGCTACAACAATTATACTGGCTTTCTTTTAAATAACAGATTGATTTTAAGACCTTGATTTTAACTTTCAAATCAGTGCATGGGCTAGCATCCAGCTACATCTGTGATCTGGTGACTCTCGCCACCCCAGTCTTCGTTCTGCATCGGGACTTGCCCTATATCAGCCACGCTGTAAACTTAAGACCATGGGTGGGAGGGCTTTCTCATACAATGCGCCTATAAGCTGTGGAATGCACTCCCCATCAGCTTTAGGAATGCTGCCTCTCTGGACTGTTTTAAGACTAACCTTTTTATCATTGCTTTTAACTTAAGATGATGATTTTGTTAACTTTTTATTCGATCGAATGGTTCATATTTTTATTGTTTTATTGCATCTTTTATTGTTGTGCTGTTTTGCTTGCCTTGTTTTGGTAGTATTTTGCCTTGCATCACTTTGAGTTTAAGAAAAGCGCATTACAAATAAAATGTATTATTATTATTATTGTCAGGGGTATTGTAAATTACTAGGGCATGACGAGACGCTTAAAACCACGAGATGAGACGAGACATGAGATTGAGTTCACGAGAACAAGACGACACGAGATGTTTATGCTATTTTTCGGAATCCTTAATGATGAAATATATGGATGTAAAATATCTTTTATATGTAAAATGTCTTATTCAACTGGAAAAAACAGCTTTTTTTTCTTTTTCTTTTTTAAATTGCATATAACACAATTACAATAAGGCAAAATTCGATTAACAACTTTCATCTACATGTATAGAACAGAGCACAAATAATAAAAAAATCTATAAAATAATAATACAAAAAAGTTAAGTTTGTTTATAAACTAAATGAGAGGATCATGTGCTTATGATTGTCTGCAGCCGGTCCAGCAATTTTCAATTTATGATTCACCAATCAGATGATACCTAAGCCACTATAAATACCCTAAGTTCCATATAACAGCCATCTTTGTTTTGAAGAATTCCCCCTTCCACCCCTACTTCTCCTCCTTTTCTGGATGGGTGGCACGGTGGCTCAGTGGTTATAGCACTGTTGCCTCACAGCAAGAACTTCACTGGTTCTAGTCTTTACCAAGCCAGCTGATGTTTCTGTGCGGAGTTTACTTGTTCTCCCCATGCTCATGTGGGTTTCCCTCAGGTTCCCCAGTTTACTCCCACCATCCAAAAACATGCAACTTAAGTTAATTGATAAATCCAAATCAGCACCAAAGACATGCCCCAAGTATGTAGTTATCTCTTAAGAGCAATCACTATCTGTTCATTAGCTACTACAGCAGGGGAGTTCTCGAGATCTGCCTGAGCTCAATCTCCCCTCTCGCCTTGCAAATGGGAGGGAGCCCCCGGGCTCGAGAATCTTATGAGCTTAGGGCTCTCTCCCAGGACAGCATGCCAAACATGCTTTATAATCTATCATAGTCAATTAACTTAAATTGCAAGTTTTTGGACGGTGGGAGGAAACCGGGGGACCCTGGGGAAACCTACGCGAAAAAATTAAAGAAAAAAAATCCAGTCCACAATTACTTTTTATAACGAAAATAAGTCATTTTGTGCCTTTTTTTCACCAAATCAGTGACTTCATTAGAGAATTTGGCAATTAAAGAGTTAAAACCCTGTAATTTTTTTAACAATTTAGTGGTTTTGATAAAAACTATAAATAACTAAAATATATATATATATGAGCAGCTCTTTTACAGCAGTTTAATTCAGTGGATGTTTTTATCCTGATCATTACAAAGGGGTAGTAAATTTGAACAGTGCACAAGGGCTAATGGTAGTGTTAAAGGATCTTAACTAATAAAGAACCTAATAAATAGCCATTATGGTAATAATATGCATCTCAAATATGTGTTTTAAAATATAAAGTCTTAACTTAACTGAATAAATAATAAGTAAATATTTACCAGTGGAATAAGGTCCATTGTGATCAACGGTGCAATAGTTATAGTGGTTGTGCTTCCATATGGCCCTGTTAAAGCAATCACTTCAGGTTCGTAGTTGTTGAGTTTTACTTTAGGTTTTATTGATCCATTTTTTGAGATAAAACTTAAAACTGAAGGGAAATTCTTTGTGTCAGAACAGTGGTCAAAGATTTCATAGCCCAGAGAAACATCGGGAAGAAGAGTTGTGGAGTTGTTAATCTCCTCAACTGCAAACCTCATCACTTGCAACATCTGATAGCCAGATTTTGAGAAAGTGTATCTAGAAAACATAAGCAGGATTAAAGTCAATATTTGATTCACAAATGTGACTGTGTGAATGTGAATTAAAGAAATGCTACTGCAGAAAAATTAGTTCTTACCTGAAACATTCAATGGCTTCTGGGGTGAACAGATGTGTTGCAGGTTTACCTTCATGTATAGGAAAAAGCCCACCCAATAAGTAATCTCCCTTCAGGCTGAACTCTGATTCTAAGCAAGAAACGACGTTAATAAAGGCCAAAAGGAGTGAGTAACATGGAAGCATGGCTTACAATGAACCATTAGTTGTAAATCTGGAACCTGTAGTGAAATTTCGGAGAAGTCAGGCTCATATACATCAGTTCAATTTGCTTAAAACACAATTCAATTTGCTTAAACCACTATATTCACTGATAAAAAGAACAATTTCCATATTGTTAAAAAAATCTCATTCAGCTATTAAGTAGAGCATTACACCACATTAAAAACAACAGGTGTGAAATATACCATTTAAAATAGTTTCAAATAAAGCCCTTTTTATTCATATAACACAATTAAAAAATCTAAAATGACAGAAAATATGAAAATAAGGACGTTTCCTATTAAAGCTAGTCCATATACAAAACTACAGATCATTCAGACAACATTAAAATGGAGAACACAAATTCCTAAAAATGCATACACAGAAAAAAGTATAAGTTGGCATTTCTGTGTGGAGTTTGCAAGTTCTCCCCGTGTTCATGTGGGTTTCCTCTGGGTGCTCCGGTTTTCCCCAGTGCAAAGACATGCCATATAAGTGAACTGAGTAAACAAAATTGTCCTTAGTGTATGAGTGAGTGTGTGTGAATGCAAGAGTGTTTGGGTGTTTTCCAGTTCTGGGTTGCCCAAACCTATTGATTAAAAAATATTCCATTTTCTTTTCGGCTTAGTACCTTTATTAATCAGGGGTGGCCACAGTGGAATGAACCACCAACATATACAGCATATGATTTATACAACGGATGCCTTTCCAGCTGCAACCCATCACTGGGAAACATCCATACACACTCATTCACACATATACACTACAGATAATTTAGCTTACCCAATTCATCGGTACCGCATGTACAACCGGAGCACCCGGAGAAAACCCACACCAACACAGGGAAAACATGCAAACTCCACACTGTAACGACAACTGACCCAGCTGGGGCTCAAACCAGCGAACTTCTTGTTGTGAGGCGATTGTGCCCACTGCGCCACCGTGCTGCCCCCTAATTGAAACTTGATAAAAAGTTATTAACTTAAAGTCAAAGAAAACTTTTATAATCAATGCAACTGGAAAAATTTCAACATATTCTGCCTCAACACTATGTCTACATTATGAGCTGTCTATATCTTGCACTTTCTCATCCTTAAATTGTTCCTTTCCCACTTTCCCATTGGTAAAATTGAATGCAACTGTCTATTTTAGCTCATATTTTGTATAGTTACAGTAGCTTGTTAGAGAACAAGCTTATATTTTGGACAGCCTGTTGGTGTGTGAATGAGGACATTTGATCAGTGTTTAACAGTGTTTAACAAACTGTTGTTTGTGTTTACTGTTGTGTTTTAGTAGTGAGAATGTTTTTTCCATGAAAGGTTAATGATGTCTAATTGTCTGAATTTGTTTTATAGGCCATTGAGTATTTGGTTCAGAGAATAGAAGTTTAGTGTCTTAGCAATTGTGGAAAAAAACTGTTATAGGCAGAATTATCAGAGGAGTACCAGCACAGCTAGATGGCAGAGAATCTAGCATTAAAATCTTGCATAAAAATATACAGGTTGACAGGTTGAGCATCTTAGATATGTTGCCAAAGTTTTTTAGTTTTTTGTTTTGTTTGTCTATCTTTGTTCCATTTCTTTCTTGTTATTCCAGACAGACAGAAAGATGATCAGATCAGATCACTGGTGGAGCACTGGCTGTTGTCAGATTCCTTGTGCAGACAATAATTTCACTGTATAATTACAATTAATGTCGAAATGTTTGAAAATGTACATTTATATTTTAAACTGACATGCTCCAAAAAATATAGAAATTACCAACTTTAAACCTTTCTTTTTTTATTTTTGTAAAAATACTAGTGGCCTAAGACAATGTATATACAGTTGAAACCAGAAATTTAGATACACTCTAAAAAAAGGAACATAACCATTTTTTTTAAATGTCTAATGGTAAATCATAATAGACGGTTATTATTTTAGGTCCGTTAGGATTACCTAAATCATTTACATTTGCTAAATGCCAGAATATTTTTTATTAATTTCTTATTAATTTCTTTTTTTTAATTAATTTCTAGACAGTCAAAAGTTTAATACATTTCCTTAGTATTTTTATTATTATTATTATTATTATTATTTGCTTTTAAACTGTATAACTTTGGGCAAATGTTTTGGGTATGCTTCCACAAACTTCTCACAATGGTTTGAAGAAATTTCGGCCCATTCCTCCTGACAGAATTGGTGTAACGGAGTCAGATTTGTTGGCTGTCTCGCTGGCACAAGCTTGTTCAACTCTGCTCACAAATTTTCTATAGGATTGAGCTCAGGGCTTTGTGATGGCCACTCCAAAACATTCACTCTTTTGTCCTTAAAGACCATTTTAACTAACTTGGCAGTATGCTTAAGGTCATGGTGTGTTTGGAAGACCCATTTTTTAATAAAAAAAAAAAAAAACATGTTGCTTCTAATACTAAGATGTTGCTTCAGTATTTCTACATAATGTTCGTTCTTCATGATGCCATCTATGCTGTGAAGTGGACCAGTCCCTCCTGCAGCAAAACAGCCCCACAACATGATGCTGCCGCCCCCATAGTTCACAGTTGGGATGGTGTTCCTAGGCTTGTAAGCTTTCCCCTTTGTCCTCAAATGTAACACTGGTCATTATGGCCAAACAGTTCAATCTTAGTTCCATCAGACCACAGGACATGTCTCCAAAAATTAGTCTTTTCCCCAGAGTAATTTAGCAAATTGTAATCTGGCTTTTTTGTTGATTCTGACTTGTTGAATTTCTCATGTTGTCACATAAGGAAGCAGTGTGTTTGGGGTTTTCCCTAAATACTGTTCTACAGTTGTGCCTCCAATTAACTCAAATGTTGTCAATTAGCCAATCAGAAACTTCTAAAACCTTGACACCATCATCTGAGCTTTTCAGAGGCGTAATAATCTTATTGTATGTAAACTTGACTTTCAAGAACAATTATAGCAATTCCTCAAAAAATCTCTCTCTTTCATTATTCTGCTATTAAGCATAACAGACACAAATTTGATAATCCTAACTAACCTAAAAGAGAAAAAGTTTAGTCACATTAACATCTGACTTCTTTTAAAATGGTTATGTGCCTTTTTATACAGTGTATGTTAACTTCTGGTTTCAACTGTATATATATATATATATATATATATATATATATATATATATATATATATATATATATATATATATATATAGCCAGCAGTGAAAAGCTTGGACTGTAGACAATGTAAAGTGTGTAATGTTCCAGGAGAGTTATGGTGTGGAGAAGCCGCAAAGAAGCGTACCACCCAGACTGTTGCATGCCCAGAGTGAAGCATGGGGTTGGATCAATGATGGTTTGGGCAGCAATATCGGGGCATTCCCTAGGCCCAGGGTACATCACTGCCAAGGACTACAGAACTGTTCTGAAGGATTATGTGCTCCTTGTGGTTAAAAAATCCTGAAGTCGGTGGAGTGTATCAGGATTATAATGCAGCAATACACAAAGCATGACTGGTGATAGAGTGGTTTAATGAACATGAAAGTGAAGCTGTACATCTCCATGGCCTGCACAGTCACCAGACCAAAAAATTATTGAGCCACTTTAGGGTGTTTTGGAGGAGCGAGTCAGGAAACCTTTTCCCCCATCAGAATCCCATAGTGATCCGGCCACATTTCCTCAAGAACAATGGCTCAAAATCCCTCTGGCCTCTGTGCAAGACTTGTATCTGTCATTCCTAAGACAAACTGATGCTGTATTCAGTTTTTTTTTTTTTTTCACTGTTAAGTTCCTGCAAAAAAATAGGGTCAAAATAATTTTTAACAATTAACAACTTTCGAAAAAAATACACACACTGTAATGAATATAATGTCAGATGCCTGTCATTCCACTTCAAGCACTGTTTGGGCAAGCAACCAGAATCAAGAAAATAGATGAAATTATGTGGTCACATGTACACAACCTGTCAATAGTGTTGATGCCTATCCAAGTATTAGGTACAACAAATAATAACTTGACTTCTATTTGATCATTTGGTATCAGAAGTGGGTAATATAAAAGGCAAAGGCCTCTAGATTACGCTTATTTTACCAAAATATGATCATTTCTTGATTTTTTATTATTTTCTTAAGACAGTAAGGTCTCACTTTGCTTAGACAAAAGTCTTGTCACTGAACAGAAATAATGTCCAATTTAGAATATAAAGTCATGGTGTAGTGAAAAAAGAATTAATATAGTGTATGATTCCCATGAGCTTGGAGGACTGCATCCATACATCTCTGCAATGACTCAAATCACTTATTAATAATGTCATCTGGAATGGCAAAGAAAGCGTTCCTGCAGAACTCACAGAGTTCATCAAGATTCTTTGGTTTTACCTTTAATGCCTCCTCCTCCATCTTACCCCTGACATCTGGTGTGTAAAACAATTGCCAGAGTAATTGGCAGTTCATTCCACTGTGGCGACCCCTGATAAATTAGGGAATAAGCTGAAGGAAAGTGAGTGAGATAGATTAACAGTGTCAGCCTGTGCAGTGTCAAATTATCAGCCTCTTGCCCAAAACAAAGCATTAGGTTAAAAGTATTCATATAAGGCTGGGGTGTCCAAACTCGGTCCTGCAGGGCTGAAAAAAGTGTTGCATGCAGAACTGTTGCAAACAATTTATTTGTGTTGAATTTAAACAAAAAAATTAAGTTTAAAAATGTTCAACTTAATTTGTTTTTTTTAAATTCACAAATAAATTGTTTACAACCATTTAATGTAAAAGAATTGAGTAAATCCAAGGAATCACATTTGAATATTTTTTTTTCAGTGTGGAGAGATTACCTACAACCCTAATCAAATACAACTAAAGCAGCTAACCAAGCTCTTACTAGATAAACTAGAAAGTTGGAGATAAACTCTCCAGGACTTCAGCCTTCAAGACCGAGTTTGGATACCCCTGATAAAAGGGAACAAATGTAAAAACTATACAAACTATTAGAAATTAAAGTAAATGTAAAGATAAACATCCCCATTAATCTATTGTTTTAT